AATATCTAGTCTGCAAGCTTATGAAAGGCTGAATTAGCTAGGGAATGTTGTCGGAATGGTTGGATCTTTAAGTAAACCATGTCTCCAATAGCAAATTCTTTGTCGGTTCTGTTTTGATCGGCATAAAACTTCATTTGTTCTTGAGCTTTTGTCAAATTGGTGTGTAACGACCTGGAAATCGATTTCTAGTCTTCACAATAAAGTCCACTTGCTTCCACTAGACCGCCTTCTATAAATGTTGGACAAGGTAGTGGCGGTTTGTAGCCATACAAGGCCTCAAAGGGGGTCATCCGAATAGTTGCATGAAACTTGGTATTGTACCAAAGTTCAGCAAAGGACAGAGTAAGTGGTCCACTGTTTAGGTGTATCGCCTGTGATGCATCTTAAGTATCCCTTTAAGGTTTTATTTAATGCCTCAGATTGTCCATCCGTCCGAGGGTGGAATGCTTGTAGATCTCAACAACTTGACTTTGTGGAATTTGAACAATTCATTCCAGAATGTACTCAAGAAGATAGGGTCTCTATCGGAAATAACTTCCTGTGGCCAGCCATGTAACTTTACCACGGTTTCCATGAATTTAGTAGCAACTACAAGCAACACCAAAGGGATGTTTTAATGCTATGAAATGTGCATATTTTGTGTATCTATCTATAACCACCAAAATTATTGAAAATCCGTTAGACTTGGGTAGCCCTATAATGAAGTCCATTGTTGTTGATTTCCAGGCCCCTTCAGGGATTGGTAAAGGTTGCAACAACCCTGCTGGAAGTTGAGGCAATGATTTGAATCTCTGGCATGTGTTACATTCCTTTACCCATACTCTTACCTCTTTCTGTAATCCTTTCCAGTAAAAATGTTGTTTTATTCTTTTGTAAGTCTGATCAATTCCAGAATGTCCTCCGATTGGGGAATCATGAAAATGGCTAAGAATTGTCTGTCTTAGCTGTTTATCTGCACCTACTACTAACTTCCCTTTTCTTTTGAGTAAATCGTTGGCATAACTATAGTGTTTGTGAGGGCCTCCTGTCAGTCTGATTCTGTCAATGATCTTCTGTAATTTGGGGTCTTGTTGCCAAGTTTGTTTGACTTTAATGACCAATTCATTTAACAAATGTGAGATGGTGACTAATTGTCCTGGAACACATTTTCTGGATAGAACATCTGTCACGACATTGTCCTTCCCTTTTTTATATTCTATACTAAAGTCCAACCCCATAAGCTGCTCTAAACCCCAATTCTGCATGAGGGTTGTAGGTGGTTGCTCAAGGAGATGCTTCAAAGCTTTCTGGTCTGTTTTTATTATGAAGTGATTCCTAAGGAAATAGTGGAGTCATTTCTTTACAGCAAAAAGAATAGCATAAAATTCTTTCTCATACGCAGAAAGGAGTTGAAACTTAGGACCCATTGCTTTGCTGATAAAGGCAATTGGATGGTTATTTTGCAGTAGTACAACTCCTATTCCATAAGCTGATGCATTAGTTTCTATAGTGAAGGGTTGCTGAAAGTCAATGCTAGAACAGGTGCAGAAGTTAATGACTGTTTGATGTTGTTGAATGCCTCCTCAGCTTTTTGTTCCCAAATGAAGGTTGTGTCTTTCTTCAACAAAGCAGTTAATGGAGAAGCCATTTTGCCATAGTTTCGGATGAACCTTCTGTAATATCTTGAGAGTCCCAAGAAGCCTCTAAGTTCCTTCACAGTAGTTGGTCTTTCCCATTTCTGAACAGCCTCTATTTTACTTATATCAGGAGCAACACCTTCCTTAGTTATTATGTGGCCTAAATATTCGACCTGCTTTGTGCCAAAATTGCACTTCTTGTAGTTTAATGCCAATGTATTTGCCTGCAAGATTTGAAGAGTTTGCTCGAGACAATGGATATGATCTTCCCACATTTTTGTATAAACCAAAATGTCATCAAAGAACACAAGGATAAATTTCCTTAGATGTTCTCTAAACAAGTCATTCATGAGGTTCTGAAATGTGGCAGGGGCATTGCTCAGCCCAAATGGAAGCACTACCCATTCATAGTGTCCACTATGAGTTCTAAAAGTTGTCTTGTGAATGTCATCTTCAACCATTCTGATTTGGTTGTACCCACTCCTTAGATCCAACTTGGTAAAGTAAGTAGCTCCTTTTAATTCATCAAGTAGGTCTTCAATTAATGGTATAGGAAACTTATTCTTGATAGTGGTAGCATTTAACTTTCTGAAATCAGTACAGCATCTCCAGGATCCGTCTTTCTTCTTCACCAACACCAATGGTGCGGAAAATGAACTACAACTCTCTCTTATAAATCCAGTGGATAACATATGCTTCACCTGTCTTTCAATCTCCTCTTTTTGTGCTCGAGGATATCTGTAAGGCTTCAAGCAAATAGGCTTCTCATTTGTGAGCTCAATTTTATGATCATATTTCCTGTTAGGTGGTAATTGAGTAGGTTCAACAAACAAGCTACTGTATGCTTGTAACAAGTTCTCCAATTCCAGCTGCTGTTGTTCATCCAAATGACCAGTATTTTCAAGTATTATGATGTTAAAACAGAGAGGACCAATGATAGGAAATAGCATTGCCTGAACATCAATTGCTTTAAGTTTTCCACTATCCTGTAGCAGTAACTTGTTCTACGTCTCTCCTTGTAATGTTATAGTGTTCCCTTCATGCTGGAATTTCATGGTTAACTTAGCACAATTCCAAGCAATTTCACCCAATGTTCGAAACTGTTAAGGTACCAACATAAAATCAATTGGCTATATGTGGAGTAGCCTAACATGTATTTAAACCATACCAAATGACATGAGGTAGGCGATGTGGGACTTTCAACACACCCCCTCCAACGAAGCCCGCCGGACCAGGCAAAGGGTACTTTTGACCCAACTAAAGGGCAACTTTTGGCCCATGACAATAACCGGAAAGATGTTAGGCTTTGGCTCTGATACCATGTTAAGATTCCAACACAAAACCAATTGGCTATATGTGGAGTAGCCTAACATGTATTTAAACCATACCAAATGACATGAGGTAGGCGATGTGGGACTTTCAACAGAAACCATTGCATGCCAAGGATTATGCCGAATGTTATGCCCGGTAATACTAGAAAATCTGCTGTAAAACTGTGTGCACCAAATTTCCAAGTTAGCTTTTCACATTTCCTTGAGATCGTAATAGGTGTGTCACTAGCAACTACAACTGGAAAATCTTTAACAGGTTGAGTTTTTAAGCCCAGTAACTTCACCCACTTAGCACTGATGAAGTTATGAGTGCTTCCGGTGTCCATTAGGAAAGGTACTGCCTGTTTTTTAATGAGACCTTGCAACTAAAGTGTGTTGCCACCTGCTATACCCCTCAAAGCATGTAAAGAAACATGCACATTATCACTATGCAGCATTGCTAAACTGTTTTCTACTATAGATTCATCATCTTCATCTTCACTAACATCTGTGTTTTCTTGATTGAAGTTTTCTTGGGCACAAAAAATCGCATTTAATTTTCCCCAAACTTTACATCTTGATCTATGATTTTTCTCCCACTTTTCACCACAAAATCTACACAATCCTTTGGAGATTCTCTCACTAGCCTCTTTTGTAGATGAAATAGAAGTTGAGTTTCCCTTAGAGTCCGGATAAGCTTGATTAGTAGTGGAATTCTGAGAGTGATTTTGTAGTGTTGTGATGGGTGGATTTCTGGATGTGAATGGTTGATTAAGCCATGGTCTTGTGTAGCGAGGTTGCACATTGGAAGTTACTGATTTCTCTGTAGAGATCTTCTTGTCTAATTCTTTATTAATATCATCCTGTAATCGTGCTAGACGTATTGCTTCTTGGATGGATTTGGGGTTATGAAGACGAACTAATTTCTCTAAATGGCTTTCCAAACCTGCGAGGAAGAAACTGAGAGCCATGCCTTCATAGATCACCACACGCGCTAGCAAAGAATCAAAATTTTCAAGATATCCAGGCAAAGATTCTTGTTGCTGTAAGCACGAGATTTCAGCAATAGGGTCATCGTAGGCTCCATCATCAAATCTGTTTCCTACATCAAGCAAAATATCGGTCCAAGATTTTGACCTGAAGCTGGGGTTTTTGATGTAATGTCGTTGCCATGCAAAGGCATTGCCTTCCATGGATAACAAGAGCAGTTTCCCTCTTTGGTTCACTGGTGTTCCTTCTAATTCAAAAAATTGCTCTGCCTTGGCTCGCCAAACCCTAAAGTTTGTGCCATCAAAATTGGGAAATTGAAGTTGTGCGCGATATAATACTGACGTAGTAGATTCGCTTTCATCGTCGTTCGGAGGTGGAATGTTAGTTCCCGCTGTTAACGTCGCCACGGAAGCTGCTAGAGTCTCCATAGTTTCCTGCATCGCCAGCAATGTCTTATTCGTTTGTTCTTGTGAATCTGCAAGAGATTTCTCAAAAGATTGCACACGCATTTCGAGTTCCTTGTTGGTCACCATGATCGTTGCCTTTCAACTGATACCAATTGTAAAGAAAGATTCTTTTCTTTCCCTACCTCTCACTTCTTCTCTGATGCACAAAGATGAACGAGAAACAAACTTCTTTTTTTAATTTCTGAATGATGATTGACTTTACAAAGAATGACTTATTTATAGTCTCTGGTCCCTAGGAATCTTATCTAATTTCCACTTTTATTTCAGAACTAACTATTAAAAGATAAAACAGAATTTATAATAAAATGACATATGACAACATTACACAACTTAGTTTAACAATAAGATAAAGAATCAAAGAGATAGTTCAATGATGAATGCAAATAGCAAACAAGCCCTGCAATCATCATCCTAAGGGAAAATTAACTTGGCATATTCTAAAATTTCTTACACAATAACCATGAAGCATAACAGCACAATCGTTTATTGCTATAAACTACATTTGCTAAGTTTCCCAGTTCTCAAAAAGAACAATGATAACCAATTAAACATCATGAACAACAACAACTAAACTAAATCTATATGAATCCACAGATAAATAAACAGCAAGAATAAAATCAGATAAGAACCTCCATCTTTTGAAGCATGTCCTTTAACTTCTCCCGTCGTCGTCTTCTAGCATTATCATCTCCATCTCCCCCATCTTGAGCAGCTATCTTATCAATTTCAACCTCTAGTTTTCCATCACAACTTTCACAATGGAAGTCCTCATCTTCAAACGATAATAACCGCAGAGCATCCAAAGCATTGTATCTAACATAATTCATATCCCCAAGTATTTTAAATAGAAATGCATCAATAATACAAAATAAATATGACATATATGATGTTCATATTACAATGAATTATTGAAACCTTTTTCCACAGTTTGGACATATATATTCCTGAAGGGTGTTTTTGTTCTCCAACTCATCTTTCAGCTTATGCTTCATGCGATGTAGTCTGTACCTAATTACATCATAAATCTGCAATGAAATTTAACGTTAAGACTTTCTATACATGGAAGAGGTATAAATTGGGTGTACAATAATAATATTTCAAATAAAATGTCAAAAAAAGGATAAAATAGCATTGTTTTTCCCTTCTCCCTGCAATAAAACATCCAAACATCCTTCATAAACCACAACTAAGGAAGAATTAGAGTTAAAAAATGGACCTGTGCATAATCGAGACAACAGTAAGAGTGTGTGTGCAGCTTGACCTTTTCTTCTCCCTCTTTTGCTGTCTGATGACCATCAGCTGTAGCAGCTACAGCAGCACTATAAATTTTTGCTCCTTTTGCTGTCTGAGGTCAAATCAGAAAAGATGTACTTGAATACATTCACCCATAACTCTCCCATACAATCAAATCTAACAATAAAAAAATATTAAAACAAATCTATAAAAACACACACCTGCGGATGAGACTTATAAACTAGAAACATAAATAACTAGCTATGCAGAATTTAAACTTGAGATAAAAGATAGAAGAAACTTTGCATGACAGGGAAAATAATATGAAATGTTCTAAAATAATTATCTTAAAATAGCCTACTTACTTTTCATTCATCAAGATTTAAAAAAAATTATAAGTTGAGAGAGTAATCTTCTCATGCTTATCTAGTTATTTTTTAAGTGTTTTTCCCTCTGGTTAGCTAGATAGTTTTTGTGTGATAATAGTAACAGCTGTGCATCCCTCATTTGTATTCAAATTTCATAAGCCAATATAGAAATTCAGTTTCTAATAATCCCTCATTTCTTTGCACTAAGATGTTGAACATGGGATCTAAAAGCTTAGTTCGGTCAGTGATTCATACAAAGAAATAGCTTGGGTACAAGCTAGACCTAAGCCCAACTAACTCCCATCGCAGAATCACAACTGGCTAACCCATCTAACTCCAACTGTCATAACAGAACAACAGTTGGCTATCTAGCTCTGGCTAAGTATTGACTCAGCAATCTAATATACAAGTATACTCTATTCTCTTGTAAATATACTTCCTACATTTTCTCTTAAGTTAGAAGTTAGGGATGACAAAATGGGTCAGATCCGGCGGGCCGGCCCGCCATAATATGACGGAACAGATTAATACTTTCAGCTCGTAAACTCATTTTGACCCGCTCCGCCAAACCCGCCAAGTCGTTGGGTAGGACGGGCCAACCCGCAGCCTGCTTTATTAATAATTTTTTTTTATTATGATACAATAAAAAGAGTCAGAAAAGCAATATATAATATAAAAATTTATGAAAAAAGAATTTTAAAAATCTTAGTGTCTCATAAAGAGAATTCATAAAGTTTCATTATCTCACTATTAAGAGAATTCAAAAAGTTTTATAATTACTTAAACTCACAATTTTGGATAAACCGACATTGGATTTTGATTTTATAGAACATATGAATGTTCTACAATGGTGGAAGAATAATAGCCAACATTTTTCTGATCTTTCATTATTAGTTAGGGATTTGTTAAATATACCTATTACTACAATTGTTTCTGAATCTGTATTCGGTATTGGTTCTAGGATTCTAAATAAGTACATAAATCGTCTTTTGCCCGAGAATATAAAAGCAATAATTTGTACTTCAAACTGGAAACATGACTTTTATGAAAGTAATTCTTTTAATTCAAATATTAATTATTTTTGATAAAAAAAAATTTACTAATTTTTTTCTTTCTTCAATTTTGTATGTTATTGAAGATGAAGAAGAAAATGACAAAAATGGAAAACTTCGAGAGATATTCAAATTCCGCATATAATGATCCCGTACATTGATTGTTTTGAATTGAGATGTGAGAATTATTCAATAGGAGAACAATGTGAAGTTTTATCAAATAAATAAATATAATATAATTTTCATTTAAATGTTTAAACTTTTCATTATAAAAACTAAAGATTTAATAAATTTTTACTGTTACATATATGTATTTATTATTATATAAATTTTATCTTAATTTAATTGTTCTAAAATATAATTTATTAAAATAATATATCAATTTATATTATTAACTTGAAATATATATATATATATATTGAATTATTGAAAATGATAATTTTATTATTAAATTTATTGAAATATTTGATTTAAAAATAGTAAAATAAGAAATATGACTGGACTAGTCCGTCCTTTAACGAGGCGAGCCGAGACTCGTAACTCGTCATGACTATAGTCGGCTAGCCCACCCCGCCCCGCTTTTGATGGGTCAAAACGGGGCGGACTGACCCGTTTTGCCATCTCTATTAGAAGTCCCATATCAGACAATGTTCAAATAGTCACCAGATTAAGCTTTCAGTATATCTTTGTGAGCTCTTGTTTTTCCTTTTTTACATCCATACAATAAAGACAAACTAGATTTCAAATCCAGTGTCTATTCCTTCAATAATCCACTACACATGAAGGTTGTATATCTCTTCATACTTTACTCTCTTCTCAACCGCACTCTTTGCCTGCATCCCCAATAACTTTAGTTTCGCCTCAAGGCACTATCCCCTCTTTCTTCCACTTCAGAGTCTTCACAGTCATTCAGATGCAAGGTCTATTTCCTCCACTAGTCAAACATCCTCTGATGTCTCTTCTTCACCCACTTCTTATCCTGTCAATACTCATCCCATGCAGACCAGATCCAATTCTGTTATTGTAATGCCTAAACTCAATCCCACTTGGCTCTATGCTCATGCGGAACCAAAGTATAAACAGGCCTTAAAAGACGATACTGGGGTTGCTGCCATGTAGGCTAAGTTCACTACTCTGAAGGAAAATAACACCTAGACACTAGTCCCTCAATTGAAAAACATTGAATTCATTCTATAATTTTTATTCATATTATTTTTGTACACAGATACTATGATCTTATAGTATTTTACTTCAACAAATCAGGACTAAATAAAGAAAGTTCTGATTATACAATATTTTGTACTGCTATACAAACCTATAATTTAGCTAATCAAATATCTTTATCCCAACACTCCCTCTCAAGTTGGTAAATGGATGTCATACATTCTCAACTTGTCCAATAATCTCCTAAAAATCTGACTTGTCACAGCTTTGGTAAGAATGTCTGTCAGCTGATCTTCAGATCGAATATTTGGCAATTCCAGAGTATTTTTATCAAGTTTTTTCTTGATAAAAAATCTATCAACCTCCACATGCTTCATCCGATCATGTTGGACAGGGTTGTGAGCAATGTCGTGCACAACTTTATTATCACAATACAACTGAATGGGACGTGTATGTGCATACCCTAAATCCTGGACAAGTAGTCTGAGGCACAAACCTTCACAAAATCCAAGAATCATTCCTCTAAGTTCAGCTTCTGCACTGGATCTAGCTACAACTTTCTGCTTCTTGCTTTTCCATGTGGCAAGATTACCTCCTACAAATGTAAAATATCCAGAGATTGATCTTCTATCATCAAGAGCACCTACCCAATCTGCATCAGTATAAACTATCACATATTTGTAGTTGGAGTTCTTCTTGAACATAACTCCTTTTCCAGGAGCAGCTTTTATGTACCTTAAAATCCATATAACAGCATCCATATGTTTTTCACCTGGATTGTGCATGAATTGGCTAACCACACTAAGAGCATAAGCTAAATCTGGCCTAGTGTGTGAGAGATACATCAATCTCCCTACAAGTCTATGATATCTTCCCTTGTTAGTTGGAGTTTGATCTTCTTCAATGCACAACTTCAATCCCTCTTCAATTGGAGAATTTGTTGGTTTGCATGTTATCATTCCAGTTTCTTTTAGTAAATCCAATGCATACTTTCGTTGTGAGAGAAAAATACCTGACTTTGATCTTGAGACTTCAATTCCGAGAAAATATTTCAAAGGACCAAGATCTTTCATCTCGAATTCCTTTGCCAAGTACTCTTTCAATGTCTTGCGTTCCTCTAGATCGTTTCCCGTAACTATTATGCCATCAACATAGACAATAAGAACTATAATCTTTCCTTCTTTTTTCTTTAGAAACAAGGTATGATCTTGGTTGCTCTGTTGATATCTAAAAACAAGCATTGACTTGGTGAATCTATCAAACCATGCACGTGGCAATTGTTTTAGTCCATACAATGACTTCTTCAACTTGCATACCTTCTTGCTAGTGTATTCGGGATCCCACATCCTTCTGGTAGCTCCATATAAACTTCTTCAGACAATTCCCCGTGTAAGAAGGCATTTTTTACGTCAAATTGTTGTAAGGACCAATCAAGGTTTGCAGCTAGAGATAATAATACTCGAACTGTACTAATTTTGGTTACGGGAGCAAACGTTTCAATGTAATCTATTTCATATGCTTGTGTGTACCTCTTTGCCACTAATCTAGCTTTGAATCTCTCAATTGTGCCATCTGCATTAAATTTAACAGTATACACCCATCGGCATCGTACTGGTTTTTTTCCAATTGGACAATCTACTAATTCCCATGTTTTATTTCCTTGCAAGGATCTCATCTCCTCATTCATAGCTTCCTTCCACCTGGAGTCAGCTAAAACTTCCTGCACACTTTTAGGAATAGATACAATAGATAATTGACTTATAAATGCGATATTTGAGTTAGACAATTTCTGGTTACAAACATAATTACTCATAGGGTATCTTGTCTTGCTGGTGAGTTCAGGATTATAAGTAGGCTTAAGGATACCTCTAGTGACACAATTTGGCAGAATTCTTTTTTTTTTATTAGGTTCTTGAGGGGATGATTGGTGTGGTATATCATCAAACATCAACAGACAAATTTTCGATCTCGACATGCTCAAAATCTTCCTCATTATGTGGTTGTTGATCATAACATTGTTGCATACTTTCATCATCTCCTGATACAACTTTGTAATTTTCTTTCTCCAATCTAACCTCAATATCAATTTCTTGAGGAACAAAAATCTAAACTTCATCATAATTCTCCGCCAGAATTTCAGACTCGGGGGAAAAATATATCAAGGTTTCATGAAAAACTACATCTATAATAGTCAACATTTGTTTGGTTTGTGGATTGTAGCACCGGTATTCTTTCTAGTGATCCGCATAGCCAAGGAACACACACCTTTCAGCTCTAGGAGACAACTTACTTATCTGATGCTTGTGTAAGTGAACATAAGCAACACAACCAAAAACTCTATATGTTAGTTCAACAATTTTATGACTTATTACTGCATCTGTAAGCGATTGAAGAGGTGTTTTATACTCAAGAGACCTGAACGGTGCTCGATTGATAGTGTATACTGCATATGTGAGAGTTTCTCCCCAATATATTACTGGCATGTGAGTTTCAATCAGTACAGCTTGGACCACCTCCAATAGATGACGGTTCTTTTGTTCTGTCACCTCATTCTGTTGTGGAGTATTTGGACAAGATCTCTAATGAACAATTCCTTTGGCTACTAAGAAATGTTGAAGTTTAATTACATATATTCTCCTTCGTTATCACTGCGCAGTACCTTAACTTGTGATTTGTACTGGGTCTCAATCATTTTATAGAATTTCTGAAATAGTCCTCCAACTTCACTTTTAGACTTCATCAAACATAATCAAGTCATTCGAGTACAATCATCAACAAACGTTACAAACCACGTTGAGCCACTCAATGTTGTAACCTTAGATGAACCCCATACATCAGAGTGAATGATCATAAAAGGAAGAGAACTTTTATTTGAAATTAAAGGAAAATATATTCTATGACTCTTTGCAAGCTCACAAACATCACAATAAAAAGTTGAAGTGTCTACTTAGACAAATACATTTGGAAATAATTTATTTATGTAACCAAAAGATACATGTCCTAGACGCTTATGTCATAACCAAATATCCTCACCTTTTCTTACTTCTTGAGACCCTTTTGTTGCTAGCACTTAACCAAGTCTCTTTGAATCTTTTTCTGTCAGGTCCAGTTAATACAACTTTCCTCGCCTAATACCAAAATCAATCGTCTTCCTCGTTTGAATGTCCTTAAAAACACAAGAATCAGGTCCAAAAATTACAACATATAAAAGAACTTTGGTTATTTGCGAGACTAACAATAGGTTATATTTAAGAGAAAGAACAACAAGAACAGTATCAAGATTCAAATTGTTTGAAATAGAGACAGTTCCTTCTCCAATAATAGTGGATTTAGTACCATTGGCTGTGGAAATACTTTCTTGTGAAGAAGGTTTAAAATTTTTAATATATCTAACATCAAAAGTCACATGATCAGAGCATGCAGAGTCAATTATCCATGCATTATTCAGAACGGTAGATGTGCTTATTAAAGTCTTACCATTGGAATCATCACTACCTGCGATTGTAGCAAACATCATGCCTTTGTCGTTCTCTTTGTCAATGGCAATTACAACAGCAGCAGTTGAATTTCTTTTTTAATTCTTCTTCGATGCTCGACTATGATCCCACCACTCGGGGTATCTTATGATTTCATAACATTGTTCCTTGGTGTGTCCATCCTTGTTACACTGAGTACACTTGTAGTTACCTTTTCCAAAATCTTTTGATTGCTTCGATTTGTTGTGATGATTTGCTGGCTGCTTCTTTGTCGTCATAACTGTGGAATCAGAAATCATATCTTCTGTTTTCAACGTTGTTCGTCGGACTGTCTCCCTCCAGATCAATGCATAGCATTCTTCTAAGTCAGGTGTCACTTCCTTGCGCAAGATTTCTCCATGAACTTGCTCAAAATCATCATCCAGTCCAGCAAGGAATATATGCACCCTTAATCTTTCAATGGACTTCTGATATGACTTCACATCATCAGGGTCCTTCATGACTATTTTGTCACGATGGTCCAATTCCTTAAAAATCTCAACCAACTCCCCATAATATTCAGTTAAGGTTTTATTATTTTGTTTTGCAGTGAATGTCCTTTGATTCAGGGCAAACACCTGTAGCTCATCACTTCTATCATAAAATGCTTTTGACAAAGCATTCTAAATATCGAGGGCAGTGGATAAGCGAAGATACCTTTTCATGATTTCTGGTTTCATGGATATCAATAGCCATTTTTTCACTTTTTGGTTTTCAGCGTACCATTTTTCATATCCCTCATCGTTCTCTGTTGGAGGTTTCACCTTCCCACGGATATAGGACAATTTTTTCCTCTCTGCAATGTGCATCTCCATTAGTTGTGATCATACGTCATAATTGGATTCATTTAAGATGATGCCTACGTTGAAGATACCTTCAGATTGAACAATCATTGAAATTAGTTTTTCTGTCATCTCTCCAGTTAAGATCTCCAAGGATTTAGAAAGAAAAAGAAAAAATTATAAGATCCGGTACCAAATTGAAAAACATATAATTCATTCTATAATTTTTATTCATATTATTTGTGTACACAGATACTATAATCTTATAGTATTTTACTCCAACAAGGACTAAATAAAAGAAATTATGATTATACAATATTTTGTATAGCTATACAAACCTATAATTTAGCTAATCAAATATCTTTATCCCAACATTATCTGGGTATCTTAAATTCTAAAAGGTGGTGATGAATCTCAAGTTTGCCGCTATCTCTCCCTTGGCACGTAAATGACACTGTTTTGAGGCCAAACGGGTTTTCCAAAAGCTTCACTCTAGGCTGCTAAAACTGCTATTTTGAGCACGAAATGCATTGCTATTCAAACTTTGTAGTGGCCCAAGGCCGCTTCTCGCTGCAATAGCACAGTATTGAAAAATGAATATAGTGATTTCCCAAATAAACAGCAGGACTAAGCATTAAAAGTTTGTTGTGCCTTACTGAATATTTGGATAATAATCTAGCAGGTGGTTCTATCCTCTATAACTTATATTCTTCATTAAATTATAGTGAAAAATGATCATGATAAGAGTTAAGAAAATACCATATTATTATCAAATGAAATATACCGTTTTATTTCTCTCCTTTATTGTACTATGCTGCAGTTTTCAACTTAGATGAAAAAAACTGATAAATAATCTGTCAAGTTAACTATGTCAAGGGGTGACTTAACACCAGTCATCAAATGAGTCTGTTAAGTCCATTCAACAGAGCAACGCTAAGCCATTTATGTGCTCACAATCGAGATGTGAATCAGACAAAAGAAATTGTCTACATCATTGGCTAATGCATAGGCAGGACCAAATAGTTACCTCTCTCCTATGATCGCGAGTAATGATCTTCTCTTCTTCAAAGAACCGCAAAGTTCGACGAAGTTGTTTCGTATGTAGTTTGAGGTCCTTTGCCAAGTCTTCTTCTCTAACCCATTGCCGTCTAAAATAATATTAATAAAGTGTAGGGGTCAAACACCAAATTAAATAAATAATGGACCCGTGTTTTTCCAACTACACATATATTGAAGTTCAACCTATATCATTTAAGCCATTTCTTTCCTTTTTTTTTCATTTTATTTACTCGGCTTTGTCATTCTGTCTATTTATTTGCATTTAAAGTTCAATAACTTCCGTTCTCTTTTGGTTTCCCTTCCTTTATAATTGCACAGTTATTAGTTCCATGGTTTTAAATTGCAGTAACCAGCCCAATATTGAGCTTCTTAAAGCCACACAATAGCATTGCAACAGCAATTACAGCCGTAGTTAACTACTCAACTATCAAAATTCAAACCACGTCACTTTCAACAGAGCAACACAGAGGCATGTCTTCAGAAGAGCATAAACAAGAACAAAACTCGAACCTCGTGAGCGCGTCAAGAACCACTACAGCAATTCCCCTGTTATCACTCCTTCCCGTTTTGGGCTGATTATCTCCTTTACTTGTAAGATCATCGTAGAAAGCCCTGGCAGCTAGTTTAACCAGCCTACGCAGATTCATTCAACGAATTAGAACAAACTTAGCATATCATATACTGAATTGCATGCAGTTCAAATCCGCCTATTCTTCTTCGTTTATATTTTCATTTGACTAAACGCAATTTCGATGCGCGTGAACTAAAGAGAGAGAAAGTGTTACTTGTTATAGGGTTCAATCATTGATTCGACGTGGCTTGGGTTCTCAGCACGGTCGTTAGGGTTCTAGTGGGTACCGTCGGTGAAGTTCGTTGAATCGAACGGGACGAGGACGAAGTAAGTCTCAGCCCCGAAATTTCGATAACTGCTTCAATAAAGTACTTGGACTATGTCAGTGATATTTTTATTGAGAGGGGATGGAACGAGAGGTGTTTTCGTTATTGTGGTTGGGCCTTTGGGCTTTATCCATTTCAGCAGCTCAATGGCCTTACGACTCGGGTCACTTAAATTATTATCATATTATATACATATTTAATTTAAATTTATAAAAAATAATTAACTTAAACTTGAATAATATTATAATATTATTTTATAATTTTAGTTACTTATCTCTTCATTTCAATAAGCATATTCTCCTTTATTTATCCATTTTTTTCAAATATATTTTTTAATTTTTATGTTTCCTAATTAAGTTTTTTATTTTATTTATATATTGAATATATAAACTAAACATAATTTATTAAATAGTCAAAAACATTTTCTTATAAGTGTAATTAATATTTCTATTTCAAATCAGTAAAAACCTAATTATTCATTAAATTTTTTATAAAAAAAGTTTTAAAAAATACAAAGACATTTTAGAAAAAAAAATTCTATCAATGCTTATCGTTTTAATCAATTCAATTATATAATTTTTCATTTTTCATTTTATTTTCACAACTTTTCTATTAAATCAAGTAATCTCGTTTTTCTTTTTATTTTGTTTTTCCTTTTCACCTTCTTATTTTTCATTTTTCAAATCAACCAAACGATAATAAAATATAACCTCATATTTAAACTTTGAAAATATTGTTTTTTTATAGAATCACTTTGATTGGAAAGTGTGAACTGTTAAAGTTTTAAACACAAAGACATTAAGAAAATACACTCAAGGTAAAAATGTAAACTATGAAGTCTGAACGTTTATAAAACTTATTTCCTTTTCATTAATTTATGATGTAATTAAAATAATATAAGTTTTATTATTTGTACTTTAAATAAAATGTTACAAGTACAAATCATATTTGACATATTAACGAATACCTATATCAAAATCTTTCATGAAGGGTTTACATATACATAGAAACCTGTCATCTGTACATATTATATTTAAAAGTGTCAAATGAGTTGGATTGAAGACGGTTGACGTGTCCCAGATATGTAATGTAAAAGTGAGGTCGATCCAAATTTTTAGAAAGGTTCGTTATTTTAGGTTTGGTCCACCTTATACCGGCCTATTTTGAAATAATATAATAATAAATTAAAAAAAAAACATTTTTTAAATTTAAGTTATATGATGACAAAAAATATTAATTTAAATATAATATTTTAATATATAAATTTAGTAAAATAATAAGATAAATATGTCAAACAATTTAAATTTTTTTTTCTTCACCTAACATATTTTCAGATATTACTTATCAAATCAAGTCAGTTTTTATACATTCAACTATATTTAATATGAAAACTCAAAGTAAGATATAAATTTATGAAAACTCATGTATATGTAAAAGATATAAAAGATTATATACGAATAACAAATTATTTTAATTTCACAAACTTATTAAAACAATAAGATATGACAACAAAACTTAAGAGTCGATTTTCGCTTCTGACTTTTTAATCATTGCCTCTAATTTTTTATTTTTGTTGAGGTTAAAAATGAAGTTCTTGTCACTATTTTTATTGATTTTCAAATATTCTCGTCCTCGCATATGTTTTTGATCTATTTTATTTAAAAGAATAATTATATTTATAATAAATTAATTTTTATATTTTTATATATATTTTTTATATAAATAAATATTTATAATTTGTAATTATTATTAATTAAATATATTTTTTAATTTATTAAATTTATATTAAAATATATATATAAAATATTTAATTATTTTTCTTTGTACAAATGTAGAACATAACATTATTATTATCATTATAATATTGTATTTAAATATTTGAATACTTTTAATAATAATATTATTATTATTATACTGTATTCATTATATATATAAATTAATATTTTTTAAATTGTTATTTAAAAATATGAAATATATAGTTTATAAAAAAATATTTAATAAATTAGTTTTTATTTAATTAGTTGAAAGTAAAAAAAATTAAATTATTAATTTTTTAATCCTTTAACATACAATTATTTTATTAAGATAAAATTTGATATATGACAAATAAGAATAATAAGATCCAAAAAAATATAACATAATAAAATTTAATAAAGATAAATTATAAATAAAATAATATTAGTTACTACTAATATTTATGCAAAATATTTTAAAAAAATATAAAGAAAAATTTACTTTATATTTATTAAATTGGTTAAAAATATTGAAAAAACAAAATTGATTGGAGAGATTAAGAAAATGTGAAAGAGTGAAAGGTAATAAAAAAAGAATAATATGATGAACTAATTGATATAAAATATTAAAAAAACAAAAAATTAAAAATTAGGTAGAAAAAAAGTAATAATCGTAAAATATAAAAAAATTATTTTATATATAATAGAAAAATGAAATAAAATACTTTCAAAATATTGATATTTTAAAATTTAACTATAAAGTTGAACGAAGACCGGACAGTCTAAAAAATATGTAAAGTTAGGAAAAAATTTGTGACCTAAATTAAATTAAACACATTTTGACTTTATTAGAACATGAATTTAAGTCAGAATAGCTCATAGGCTTAAAACCAAACCGGTTTTTTGAATAATAATTAAAAAATATATATAAATAAAAAGTATTATTTTATTAATATATATATATATATATAGTATAAATTAATTTAATTAAAAATTTCACTTAATTTAAAATATAAATAACAAAATTAGTCTCTAATAATCATTTATTTCAATATCTAACAATGAAGATAAAATAATATTTTAGATTAATAAACTATTAAAAAATAATGATAATAAGAATAAATTTTAAACCCTTATTTTCATAATAAATTAATTATCTTATAATTTATTTATTAAATTATTATATATTAAATAAAATATAATTTTATTAATATAATTTTTATTTTAATATTTTTTAAATTAATTATTTTGTTATAATCATGTTAATAATTTTTTTTAATCAGATTAAGATTGTCTGTTAGGTAGTTGGTTTAATATTAAAAGTTATGATTTATTTTGAAATATATGTCAGATTTGAGCATAATTACTTTTTTTTTTTTTTACTTGATCCCTGGTTCGGATGCTGATTTTGACGGCTCTAACATCATTCACTATTGTTTAGTTAATAACCTAAAATACTTACATAATTTATGAACCTTTTTTTTTTTCTCAAATTTTTAAACTTCAAAGTCCATATATTTGGCGAAAAAGTGACATTTAAAGAAACGTTGAGGGTTTAAGGTTTAGGATAATTCTTGATAGAAAGTGAAGTGTTTTATGGTTAAATATGTAAAAAGGTATATTTTGTGGGTTTGGATATATGTGGGGAAGCGGAATTTTGATTTTTTATATTCTTTTGATTTATGTTGATTATATAATTAATATAATAAAATACAAAATTATTTATGCAATAATAAATCATAAGACAATATATTTTATAAAGATTTTTTAAACAAAATTTCTTTTATATTTTATTGATATTTTTCATTGATATAATGTAAATATAAAATGATTTTTTGTGTACGTAAATGATTTACATATAAGGATTAAGTGTTGACGAGCACATTAAATTATCCACGTGGCAGAAAGTCTTTACAATTGAGACACATTGATGTAATTATTAGGAATTTGCTTTATGAATAATCTAATAACTTGTTACGTGGGCCTCTTGTCGGGGTCCACTATACCAAAATAAGAAAAACTTCATCCTTCTCTTTTTCTTTTTCACCTTCATTCATATCGTCTTATGTGACGACATCGATGAAGTGAAAAAAATAGTTCCTATCTATTTGTTCTAACCTAATAAGCTAATGAAATTAGTCTTACTGCACTAGTGAAAAAGGAAATAAAACTTCCATCTCCAAATTTTATTCAAATATAACATGTTTCTTTTTTAGTGTGAAGCAGTGTCAAATTACCTAATAAGCATTAACTCTCAATGAAAAGGAGATGATCCAGCTACACCTTCCAGTACAACTATCTTGTTATGACTTCACTAGCCCTGCCTTCGGCATCCCCCTCCTTGCGATTTAGGTAACAATATCAGGCATGGGCAACTCTCATAGTATAACGAGCGGTGTGTACAAGGCCATGAACAAATTTAATCGCCGTATGGCTAAAGTAGCCCATGTAGCAAAATTAATTACAAAAGAGGGGAAATCGACCACATTAAAATGACCTTCTGGGGAGGTCCGTTTAATATCTAAAAATTGTTCGGCAACAATTGGACAAGTGGAAAATGTTGGGATAACCATAAAATTTAGGTTTAGCAGGATTTAAATGTTGGCTAGGTAAGCTGACTGACAATTACTAATGATTCCGACTTCATGTAGACTACAATCTGAATTAAGAACAAGTTTTTGAAGTTAGTTCACTCTTATGGTTTCGTGATGCTTTGTCCCATCCATTATAACAAGTGTGTCGTCCACGGCATAACGATTGATACATGAGTATGTTATTATGATATAACAATTTATGTTTGAATATGTTATAACAAAAATATGTCATAACACTTATCATCAAAACAAATATATTGTTACAAATATAAATAATCATCAATGTCATGTTAATAAAAACAAATCAAAAATCATATATCAATATCAACAACATAAGTTTGATAATCCTTGTATATTTTAAGAAGTTATTTATCTACTTCGTGCACACTTGTCATGGTTTTTAATCGAGCTCACCTTGACTTTAATATTTTTAGCATTATAGTTGTCTTGAAAAACTTTAAGTTGTTGAATTGACTTAATAACATTTACAATAGAAAGAAAATAACTTGACAATTGACTCACATAAAACGGGTTCATCCTGAGTATACTTGTATTGAGTTTGAAAGTTTTGTATATTTACTTGAATATAAACACTAAATACGTATGAAGATATTTCCTTATATAAATCATGTTAAAGACATGTTAATATAAAAATCACACAAAAAAAAAACATTTGTAATCACTCTATTATAAATGAGATAATTAATGTGTTTTACAACATTAAATTAAATTTGATATATTTTATTACCTAAAATAATTTCAAAAAAAGTCTTGTAAATATAGTAGACTTAAGTGTTAAACTCATTCATTTATTACATTTACGCCTTTTATCTTATATTAACATGGCTAACTTGATGGACATGAAATTTTTTTAAGTGAACCTCCTTTTACTCATATTTTATTATTTTTGAATTCATTCATTATGTATCTAAAAAGTCTAAACTAGTCTAATCTATTTGATCTTATTTAATATAAGAAGAAGAAATAATCTTACATTAAGAAGACTTTTCACATTAAAAATATATATATATTTTTAATTATTTTTGTCATTTTTTATTGTTATTGCTTATCATAAATTATTGAAAACTTTGAAAAAATTATATCATTTGCGTATTCAGATATTTATGTATGTTAAATGGTGTAAGTGCGATGACGAGTGTTCCGATACATTCATGAGTCTAATATACCTTAGGAGTTAATGTAAGTGGTAGTTTATATATATTATTCTCTATTAATCTCACTGAAATATTTTTTAAGAATAAAACGGTAACAAATTAAAGTTCTCAAACGATAAATATCTCAAATATAAAAATTAATCATAACAATATTTATCACAATAACATGAGATCAATCACTCTCATTCATGGATCCTCTCTTTCCTAGGTTATATTTTAGGTTTTTCAAATTAAAATACAATAACTTTAATAATATTGCACCGGAGTTTAATTAATCATATAAGTAAGTTTTCCTTTTTCTTTACTCATAAAATTTTTTATATGTTAAAAATATTAATACTTTGATATTTGTGATTATTATTGTTATATCTGATTAATTACTTCTCACAACTTTTTATAAATTAAAAAAAAATTATTTTATACTTTAATATTTCTAATTATTGAATTATTATTACCTCTTAGCAAAGACCATTAATTTCTGGTAAGAGTATGTAATTATTATAGTTTCTCAAAATTAATGAAATATGATTTTTATTTATAAATTTTATTTTAACTTTAAAACATAGGAATATTGAGTTTTTTTTTTTTTTTATCGAACTTTGCGTATTTTCTTTTTACAACCATATGTTTTTTTTTTTTTAATTTATATAGATTAATTAATTATATTAAAATGATTTTAGCAAAAGTTGAAAACAACTGAACTATGGACAAGTCACTTGGGCTTGCGTTGCCAAAGTAGGGCACACAGAACAGACGACACCGATAGGGCACTCTATCGTCATCGCTTGTCTAGGCGTGACCCAAGCACGTTACCACTGCGCTACCTCCTCTATAAATACAGCATCACTTCAGCTTTCTCAGAGGGAGACACACTCAAAGAGAGAGAAAGATACCTCGATTCTAATTCGATTCTAATTCGATTATCGTTTCTCACTCTTTCCCCGATGGCGAAGCCTCGCAAGCCCAAGAACAGCGAAGACCCCAAGCCCGAAAACTCCGGTGCCCTAGTTCACCACCAAAAGCTATGCCTCTCAATCGACGTCGACAAATGCCTTGTCCACGGGTTCGCAATTCTCTTTCCCCCTTCCGTTACTTAATAATTAGCACTTTTACTATGCGCTGCTGTTGTAAATTAGATTTTGTTACTTCTGAGATTGTGTTCGAGATCGCGTGTTTATAAACGATCTAGAATTTGATTCCTGTTGGTTTCACTTGTAGGTACACTGAATTGGAGATTGCGGTACCGGAGATTGGGATCGTAGGGTTACACGCAGAGAATTTAGGGATTGAGAGTGTTTGGGTCGATGGTGAGCCCACGGAGTTCGAGTATTACCCGCACCACCAGCAGCAGGTGGAGGATGATAAAAGGTTTAGCTCCGTGTGTTCTCCTAGCTCTGCTGCCGATGCTGCCGTCTCGGTGTACATGTCCGCCCTTGAGAAGGAGTTGGTGCCCAATTTACTCATTAACTGCTGTAAACCTTCCAAGACTGAAAGTGAACAACAGCAGGAGCAACCCGTCTCCGAGAACGGCTTTCACTCATCGGCCGAGTCCAAGCAGGTTGTAGTTGCTGTCTATGAACTCTTGGTTTCGGTGCTAACTCCGTTGCTGAACAATTTTTGATAGTTCGGTTAAACGAAACTTGTAAACCTATGCATAGCATCTGAATTGTAAATAATGTTGCAATTGACTAATTTAGTCCCTGCAAATGTGATTCGTTGTCACTTTTATTCCTTAGATATAGTGACATTCAAAAGTAAGTTTCTGCTATTAGATATTACCGCTTACTGACATTTTGGCCTTTTGATATATGTTAATATTACCACCTAAGTTGTAACATTAAGGAACCTTGTACCACTTGGGTGACAGATTACAGTTTCAGGAGCTTTTTGAATGTTTAGTTCAAGGAACTAGAGTGAGAGTGATTAGGAATTCACAATTTCTGAGGCTAAATTGTCTATTTACTTTTAAATATTGTGTAATTATCATTTATTTAAAGTGATTAGGCACTTGCTGAATTGAATTTTATAATGTATTTATCTTTATATTTATTTAGTGGTCTTGATAACTAGTGCCTAAGGGTACTGCTTGAGGAATTAAAGGGATGAATATAGAAAATCATGTTGGATCACATTAAAAAATCATAGAGAAGCACATTTCTTCCCAACCCAATAATTAAGTTTCCTCTTTTAATTCCTTATCTAATGCACTTAGGGCATATCCAATTAGAGTAACTCCTATGAGATGCTTCTCACATTGAAAAATGTAAAATATAGATTTATTATGCCACATCATATTTAAGCAATTCATAAGAGATTTTCTTAAAAAATTCCAAAGAACTTATTGTTTCTCCTCATTTATTCCTTTTATTCATTTTTGTATGTTGCTTGATGAAGCAACCAACAAAGTTTTTTAAACAACTTATTATGTCACATAGGATTTTTCCAATGTTTTACTTAAACATTTCAATGAGCAACTCCCAATTGGAGATGTTCTTACGACACTGGTTAGCATTTGGTTTATATATTTATATATAATATATAATTATAATACAATTATATTTTTATAATTTTTATAAATAAGCTTGTTGCCATTTGTTTGGTTCAGTATGACCAAATTTAGTTAAATTGCAACTGTGGTTATCTTTTACATTGTGGGAAATAGTGGAGAATTTCAGCCTCAATTGAGGTTGTGGAGAGTCCAGAAACAATGATGCAGAGATCACATCATTGACACTGGGAAATTACAGACAAATGCAGTTGCGATGCTGTCATGCAGTGTTTGAAAACCTTGACATTGCAGGCGAAATTGCAGCTGGAGATCATTTTATGAAACCTTGGGCCCAAGTCCATACAAAGGACTATCAACCCAATTTTGAACTTCGTCTTCTGCTTGGTTGGGTTTTCCAAATGTGTTATTTAGATGTTGCATGAGTTTAGTTGTGATGGGTTTCCAGTACTGATGTTTTATGGTGTTCTTCCATAATTTCAACCCATTTTGCGTTTTGATTTCTGTGTTTTTTCCCTACTCATTTTATGAAATAGATTCTTGTTTTTGATTATTGATTTAGTGCAGCACCCTTCCTCGCGAATATGACAGTTAAATGTGAGAATGAGTAGTTGTGGTGAGGTTTACTATTTGTGTTTTCTCATGTAGGTTGATGTTGGGTGCAGAATGTGAGAATTGTTCGTATTGACTATTGGATAGAAAAGGCAGAGACAGGAATCCACTTCAGAAATAGTCTTCTTCATACTGATAATCAGATAAGGAGAGCAAGATGTTGGTTCCCATGTATAGATGACAATTCACAACGATGTTGGTATGGACTTTTAACCCTTTCCATTTGTGTCCTTATCCATGGTGTCATTTGATTATAAATTTTTTACTGTTCACCCTGTGAAGTAATTATTTTTTTTGTTCATGTTCAGCTATGATCTGGAGTTCACTGTAGCACACAATCTTGTGGCTGTTAGTACAGGATGCTTGCTTTATCAGGTAGCAATGGCTGATACTAACATTGTTATTTTTTAGTCCTGAAAGCACAGTCCATGCGACTTTTGCACTAGCTGATAATATTTTGGAGCTGTTTCTTTTGTTGATGAGCACATTTAATGTTCTGTTAAGTCAGATTGGGAATTGGATTTTTTTTTGTTTCCTATCACTGGATGATTGGATTCTGACTACTTTCGGTTTTTCTCTTACATGCCACAGTTGTTAGATGAGGTTGGGCTTGAAATTCAATCCATTTTCTAACCTATTTATTCATAATCCTTGCAATAGCTTAAAGGAAGAATGTAGTATAATTTGAATTGCAATCTGCTTTTCCTGTAAGTTATGTTCTTGGATATTGTAAGGCCTGGTGGAACTTCTGAAGATCGAGCTTTCCGTTTTCTGTTTCTTCCCTTTGGATTAGATGCAACCTTCACCTGTCCTTTTCATTTCCTTGTTTCTTATTTTTGATTTATTCAATGATAAAATTCATCCCAAAAATGCCTCTTGCTTGTCATTTTGACAACACTGACATAGTGTGTGATATGACCTGGATTTCAATTTATTGCTGATTCATGATTTGGATTTAATCTCAGCTATATATGTTTATCACTTTCAATTTGTTTGGGGGCGGGGGGTTTCAATGCAACTCTGCAACACTAATGGCTGGATATTGGTTGCTGGCATATTTGATTTGCGGTGATAGCTTAGTTGGGAGAGCGTCAGATTGAAGATCTGAAGGTCGCATGTTCAATCCATGCTCACCGCACCTCCAGGGTCATGGATTTGTTTAGCCAAAGTTCTCATCCAAGGAATTTATCACATCTTATTTAGATATTTGTGTTGAAAAGTTCATTTAATTTTTACAAAATTTTGAAGCAGCTTTACTTTTGTCTTTTACTACCATTTTGATACATTTCATGTTAGAGAAGCATAAAAGAAGAATGCTTTTTGTAAGTTGGAGAACAAAATAATAATAATAATTATTATTATTATTATTATTGATGTATTCCTTTCCTTGACTCTATTATGTACGTGCATATTAATATAAATTATGTATGATACCCTGTTCTGCTAGCCACCCTCATTTTAGGGAAGTTCTTATCATCTTCTTTGTTGTAATGTTTTTCTTCTGTCTCAAAATTAAATTTTTTGTTCTATATGAAAATTTATGTTCATGTGTCATATGCCTTGCAAAGTTAAATTTGTTTTTGTTTGAACCTCCTTTTTTTTTTTTTTTCAGGTCTTAAGCAAGGACAATCCTCCCAGAAAAACATATGTCTATAAATTGGATGTTCCAGTCGCTGCTAGGTGGATATCTTTGGCTGTTGCCCCATTTGAAATTCTTCCCGATCACCAATTTAGTCTCATATCACATATGTGTTTGCTGCCTAATATGTCAAAGATGCGGAATACAGTGGAATTTTTCCACAGTGCCTTCAGGTTTGACATGTGATAGCTGCAATTCAACTAGCCTGAAAAGTTTGTTTTTTTCATCATAAAATTTTATAATGATTGGATAGTTCGACTTTTATTTTTGAGCAGCTGCTATAAGGATTATCTTTCTGTAGACTTCCCATTTGACTCATATACACAAGTTTTCATAGATCCAGAGACAGCTGTGTCGTCTTTGAGTTTAGGAGCCTCTATGAGTATATTTAGTTCTCAAGTTTTGTTTGATGAGAAGGTTATTGATCAGGTCTGTTCATTACTTCAATTCTTTTTAGTTGACTTTCTTTTTATCTAATTATACTCATTCTGAATGAATTTCAAAACTGTTTCTCTTAGACATGAGGGTTTTTCTGCTTATGATTTCACTACTATGGCAGCTTAATGATTATACCTATGTCTTTATTGACAGACTATTGATACAAGGGTAAAACTTGCATATGCTCTTGCGAGACAGTGGTTTGGAGTGTATATCACTCCTGAGGCACCAAATGATGGTGATTTATCAGATGATGTTTTCGATTGCTGGTTTAATTTGATTTGATTGGTTGTAAATTCAGCAGTTTTGTGTTTCCTTTAGTGTGATTGGTGAATGCTTACTTTCACCTTGCAGAGTGGCTCTTGGATGGACTTGCTGGTTTCTTGACAGATTTTTATATTAAGAAGCAGTTGGGGAATAATGAGGCGAGATACAGGAGATATAAGGTTTGTTTTTCTTTCTTGGTTAGTCTTATCTATGTGAATGCTAACTCTCATGCATTAGATTGTAAAAAATATTATGAATTTGTGCTCTTTATGACTGTCTATGAAAGTTTCTGGTGCAATGTTGTTATTGGGGACTGGATATGCTTTGTAGTTTGCATAAATATTGATATGAAGGTCATGTCCCCATCAAATATTCTTCGGCTGCATATTGATTATGGCCACTTTTTTATCCCCACTTATCTTGCATTTTTTGTTCTCTGTTGTTTTGTTTCAATTTATTAAATTTCTATATATTTTTAATCTCAAATGCTTGAGGCATTCTTCTTTCTTTTGCTTGGATTTTCTTCGTGCAATTGACAATAGCAAAGTCTGTTACTAAAATTTCATTTCATAGTTAAACATGTTGATTTGTGTTAGTCTAAGTTGAGGCTGTAGAGCATTATATGCTAATTACATATTTTGCATGTTAATGTAAATCAACCCACAGGCAAATTGTGCTGTTTGCAAAGTTGATAATGGTGGAGCGACAGCTTTGAGCTGTTCAGCTTCCTGTAAAGATTTATATGGAACTCAGTGCATTGGTTTATATGGAAAAATAAGATCATGGAAGTCTGTAAGTTTTTTTCTTTCCTTTCCTTCTCCCCTTACCTGTAATCATATAGCATTGAGCCAGTACAGTAACGTGTTTCCTTAATTAGTATTGAATTATATAAATACTTTTTACCCCCTTTTCAGGTGGCTGTTCTTCAGATGTTGGAAAAACAAATGGGTCCTGAATCTTTTCGCAGAGTGAGACTCCTTGAAATTTGCACTATTTATCCTTTTGATCATTCTACATATACTGGACTTGTCTTAATCATAGTAGTCAATAGTGTGGTCTCACACTGCTATTGTGATGGTGTGGGAGTGGAGTGGTCCCTCATACCCGGGCACCACCACTAAAGGATGTGATTTAGATTTAACATAAAGGACTTCATTCCTGGTTGGGAAACAGTGTCGTTTGGGTGTTTGCTTTTTATTAAGGGTAAAAGCGTAATTTTATTTTAAACTATAACCCATGATTTACACTCCCCTTTTTCACAAATCACCCCTTCTCTCGCATGATCTGCCTCTCAACTTCCCTCTCATCTTCCTGCATTCTGCCTGGTTATTTTCCTGGTTATTTTCGGCAGCATCTACCATGTGATTTCCGGTGACACTTCCAGTGCACTATCAACTTATCCTGCAATCTCCAATAAAAACTGCACCATTCTTTCTTGTTTCTTGTCTGTTCAGCTACATCTGGCCAACCACCCTCTTCTACTCAACCCGTTCAGCCAACCTCTTGCTGTTTTCCAATTTTGGACATTGTCATATATTGTTTTGGTGCTTTGCTTTGGACCACTTGGCAATGAAACTTAATCAGAATATGATTTTAATTTTAGGCATTTTTTTCTTTATTTTTAAGTTTGACAAGGCTACTCTAAAGGGAATTGTTTTCATATTAGTAATACACTCAATGGCTTTTCATATCCTGAATATATTCTGTACATTATCCTTTTGTTATTGGTGTTCATTTTTTTTTTCAATTTTCTAGTTGGCCCTTTTTCTTCATATTTTTTCCTTTTTAAATGTCATAAAACAGAGGGAATGTTGGTGGGAATATATATATATATATATATATATATATATATATATAAGTTTTTTGTTTAATTTATTGTATGTGCTAAATTAATTTATTTTAAAATTTTGACCCCTCCATACTGATTTAATGGCGATGGTTAACATTGATGTGGTTGTACTGAAAATTAGGAAACAAGAGTAAATGATATGACACGTTACTTGGGTTCTAGTTGTTATTTAATTGTTGATGATCTAACTGTATATGATGAAGAATGTCTAGATGATTGTTGTCAGCTACATACAGATGTCAACGAATAGTTGTGGAATCTAGTTTTCATTCTAAACTATACTTGCGATGTTTTTAGTTGTCTCCTTGCATTGGACACCTTTTCCCATTATTCATCATCTTCCATAATCCTTTTACTGGGGGCCTTTTGTTTTTGTTGCCATCATTTATGACGTTTTTCTTTTTTTCTATTTTCCCATGGAAGATATATGCTTGGAAGTTTGATGATATTGTTTTGCTTGCCATCAATGTAGATTTTACAGACGATAGTTTCTCGGGCTCAAGATAAAACGCGTTCCATGAAGACTCTAAGTACTAAGGAGGTAATGTACTTTTGGTTCTGAAAAATTTGTGGCTTATTACCTGCATGTAGTTTCTATGTAATTATATCAAAGATGTATGAGCTGGAAATCATATTTTCATTTATAGAATTGTTTATTATCTGTCACTCCCTTTAGAAATGGTTAAATGCTTCTGAGCCTTTCACGAATATTATATTTCTGTCATGACCACTTCTGTTAGGTTTATGTATCTATAAAATCACATTAGCATGAATATGACAGATATAGGACAAGTGGATGGTACAACACTGATGTGGATGGGAGAAGGAAAGATAGTAGTATGGGACAGAATTAGGTCAGTGGACGAGGGAATAAAAAAGGATCATTAGACTGCCATAGTTTCATTGTATAGTTAGATTATTTACAATCATAATTAAGCCAGAAGCATTTATCCATTTCATCAACCAAGCTTCAGTGTTATATGACTTCCCCCATCAATCTTCCTTTCCATCACTTTCAAAGCAACCAAATTATGCGACTATGGGTATTTTTTTTAATTTACAAATTTTACCGGTCTTGCATTTTACAAACTTTCATTAATATGTTCAAATTTTTTTCTCTTTACAATTTCAGCTCATGAACCAAGACTCTATTATCTGAAAAAGACATTGTTGTGACATTAGTACCTCTTGGAAATACATAGGGCTTAAGTTCAATAATAAGTTAAAAGAGGAATGAACTTAAAGTTGACATGCTAACTATTTGCTACAGAAACAACTATCCATGGCTCTATTTTACAAATGCTTAACTCCATTTATTTCTAGAGCCCATTGGCCTTGCCATGTCACTCCACCTTAATGCATTTTCTTGATAGTAGAATATGAAAAAAGGTGGACAAGCAAATTGATGAAATTTAATTTAAATTGCTTTTATAAAGTAAATAAGTTTGTCCTTACAATCTCATGTAAAACTGAGAAATATAAATGTAGTTTAATCTTCAATGCAGTATTAACTGAAGATTTTGATGGATTCTGAATCTGATAATTTTTTTAATACACAGTTTCGACATTTTGCCAATAAGGTTGGGAATCTTGAACGGCCATTTCTTAAGGATTTCTTTCCTAGGTGGGTTGGTTCTTGTGGATGTCCTGTTTTAAGGTATAAAAGAAGGATTTACTTGTTACTCTTTATTTCATTTTTGGAATGCTTTCTGTTCATGTATTCTGACGAGTTACATCTTGCTGTTGCTAAGGATGGGGTTTTCCTATAACAAAAGGAAGAATATGGTTGAATTGGCTGTGTTGCGAGGATGTACGGCATTGCAGACTTCAACTACATCTACTCTTGATAATAATCCAGAGACAGAAAATCGAGATGGAGATACTGGATGGCCTGGTATGATGAGCATCAGGGTATATGAACTTGACGGTATGTATGACCATCCAATTCTGCCAATGGCTGGAGAAGCATGGCAACTATTGGAAATACAATGCCACTCAAAGCTTGCTGCTAGACGCTTTCAGAAGCCCAAGAAAGGATTAAAACTTGATGGATCTGATGATAATGGTGATGTGCCGTCCATGGACATGCGCTCAAAGTATATATCAGTATCCTATTTTTTCGTTTTAATTTGTGGTTGTTGTTGTTCAGTTTCTGACAAATTTCTTGTTATGGCAGTACTGAGTCCCCTTTATTATGGATCAGGGCAGATCCTGATATGGAGTACCTAGCCGAGGTTCATTTTAACCAACCAGTTCAGATGTGGGTAAGGACAAATGTTACAGCCAATTGATTTGTTTGTGTTGTTATGATATAGTATTTTGTTATACTATTAGAGGCACCATACTTCCAATGTGGGACTCTTTAATTATTATACGTTGCAATTTAAGCCTGACATCCCACCATGCTGTGCCACCTCAACACCCATGTAAACTGGCTATGGACTAACCCCTTGAGTAGGTCCAGGCAAATGCTACAATGTTGGCATCGCACTCATGGTACTTGTTTTGTAGCTCATAGTGAAATGCTTTGTCCAATTGACAGTTAGAGCTTTGCAAATCCCAACACTAGAAGTTCATACTTCCAATGTGGCACTCAAGTTTCATACCTTGCTATTCGATCCTAACATCCTACCCTGGTTGCAAATTTTTATGTCATGGAACTAATTCTATAACCTTTTTTTTTTTTTTTTGAGGAAATTACAGAACCCTTTTAGGTAAGATGTATAATTATGAAATGTTTCGTAATCATACTCATTCATCCTCTCACTTCTTTCATTCTCTCTCTTAGTCTTTTTAGAAATAAGTCATGCCCAGTCATTTATTATGGTGTTTGTATTTTGTTATTGGTTATGTTTATTCATTCTATATAGTTATTTTCTTCATTTAGATCAATCAATTAGAGAAGGACAAGGATGTTATTGCTCAGGCACAAGCAATTGCAGCCCTTGAGGCATCACCGCAGCTATCATTTTCTACTGTAAATGCCTTAAACAATTTTCTCAGTGACTCCAAGGTGATTTCCTTTCTGTAATGTATTTTCAGTTAATAGTTTTTAAAACTCAAATTAATATCTGGAGTCTTTTGGTTCTAACTGAAGGCCTTTTGGAGAGTACGGATTGAAGCAGCATTTGCATTAGCAAATTCAGCATCTGAGGTATTCAAATGCTGTAACTTGTTGCATTTTAACTTTATGAAATACTGGTAGATTGTAAATACTTTCTCTAGTCTTGAATTTAATCCAACAAAATCTCTTTGTTGGTCTCAAATATAAGTAAATGTCGACAAAGTTTATCTTATTTAATGAGCCTGTTCCCAAAATACCCTTCATCTAATTGAAGTTTTGTTTCCAATGACTCATTCTTTTTATATCAAGTTCCAAGGAAGGGTAGTTTAGGAAAGTTTATCTTTTAAATGTGATGAGTACAATACTTTAAGTGTCAACAGATTTGGTTTTGATACAATAATGTTTTAATGACTTGCCAATGACTGCTATAGTAAATATCTCTGTACCTTAGAAAACAAAATGGAAGATTTATGCGTTTTAAGTTAAGTATGCCACTTGTCATATGGATATGAACTCGATACAAACTCAAATCATTGTTGATGCCTGAAAAAAATGCAAATGATTATTTCTTTTTCAATAGTTTTGTATCTAACATAGTCAGCATTTCATTGTCTACCAGGAAACTGATTTTTCTGGTCTACTCCATTTGGTGAAATTTTACAAGAGTCGAAGGTTTGATCCTGACATTGGACTCCCAAAGTAAGTCTATGAAAATTACTGTTCATTTTTTTGTCATTCAATTTTGGCAATATCCAGTGACAATCTTTGTTGTACTAATATTGCCAGGCCAAATGATTTTCACGATTTTGCTGAGTATTTTGTTCTTGAGGTAATGCAAGGAGGTAGGATGTGTAAGTTACATCTGATGTGATGTGATTGTAATGTGTTTGTTATCATCGGTGTTCTGAATATTTGTGGAGGTCCTCAAGTGTTTCATTTTTTTGAATTTATTAATATACATGTATGGGGTGACTTCTTATATGATGTAGTGCAATATTCTTGATTTCCATGATAGTGTTTACGTGCCAGTTTCTTGAACTTTAGCAGTCATATTGTTTGTTGAAATGTAAGCAGAGTTATCAGTGTGGGATGGCTTAGCTGTATTCATTTCTTTAATTATCATGTGATGCGCTAGATAACACCAGGTATAAGTAGGTGTGAATAGGTTTATGTAAGTGTACCTGTTCACCCAAATGATTAAAACTTTTCAGAAAAGTTGATTTCATGGTTTGTGAAAAATAAAATACAAAACAGAAGTGGCTGGGTTTGGAGACACTGATCTGTCTGATATTCTGGAGGAATAAATGATTGCTTTGCGAAATATAACATTTTCTGAACTTGTATATAATGACTTTTGGGATTGATGTTTTTAAGTCTCAACAGAAAGGACGCACAAACTACTCAAAATAACTGTTGTGACTCTGATACTTCTTCGACTCATTTGATACTTCTAACCTTCATTTTTCAAACTACCTTTGGTGTGCTCTATATTGATTTCTTAGTTTTATGGCGTCTAAAACTTGTGTGCATTATGAGCTATATATATATATATATATATATATATATATATATATAAGTTGAAACTTATAATTTGTGTTATGATCTGATAATCCTATGGCCTTCTCCATTGCAATGTTGAAGCTTGATTTTTGTTACTGTGGTTGCTCCATCCTCGTGAACTCTGCTTTCCTTATCCCTTGTACAAAGTATAATATTATCCATGAACTCTACCCTTATCAAATTTCTGTGATCATTTACATTCTTTCCTGTGCCAATGGTTTGTTGTGTTTCACAAATGAATATTGAATGTGGCTTGTTTGCAATATGTTTAAGTATTTGTGTGATAGTAAACCTGAAGTGGTACGGCTAGATGATAAATAATTGTTTCTTGATGTATTTTAAAACATGCCAAGTCATTTTTTGTTAAATAAATGGCTGTTGTAGGCTATTCCACATGCTGTTGCCATGGTTAGAGCTGCTGACAAGAAAAGCCCAAGAGAAGCTATCGAGTTTGTTTTACAGCTATTAAAGGTTATTGTTTACTTACTGCTGTATGGATTAATTCCTTAGCAACTAATGTGACATTGGCAGTTTTATCCATTAAATGGAAATATTGAATTAGCATAGGACATATTTATAGTGTCTTGTATTCATCGAGTTATACTTAAGATTTTAGGAGGGAATATTTGAGATGGAAATCGAATCGAACACTCAACTGAACATAATTTTTACACAGGCTGATGATGGAGCGGTTTACTACTTGGTATGATGATTACCAAAACAATTACTAGAGACAAATAATGGGCTAATAATTCTTATCCTATTTCTTATGTTGTAACGCACCTAGGCTACTTGGTATAATAACTAAATTATGTAATTTTCAACAGCTCCCTTGTCCAATGCATGCAGCTTGTTGTAAATACAAGGACATGTTTGGTTTGAAAAACTATTTTTTATTTCCTATTTTCATAAATAGTTTACCAGAAGGTCACCTTTTTTTCACTTTGTTTTCTGTTTGCAATGATTGTATAGGAAGTAGTGTAAACAAGGACATACTTTCTTTATGAGATAGTAATTCCTGACTATGATCAACTTCAAACCTGCGAAAGTATCTAAGTCTGCCCTAGTTTTTGGTTCTTAAATTAATGAATAGAAGAGTAGATCCATTGGACGCTGATTCCCAGTATAAATATTGCATTTGAGTTCTGATTATATCATTCATGTAGGCCACATGATTTGGAGATACATTGTTTGAACAAGAGCTTCCAAAATTTGAATTGATTTACTTCATTTTGAGTCCTTCTAAATTTCCAATTTTTTTAACACCAAACCAAATCTCCCAAAGCAACATCAAGGTGTTGTTTAAGATTATGTTATGGTGATTGTTTAACTTATGACTCCTCTTGAGCAACAAAATTAGGGGCGTCATGCAGGATGTGAGGGCATCTGTCAGCTTTTGTGATGACCAGATTTTGGGTTCTGACTGGAAGTCCTGTAAAGAGGTGACTGCAGATTGAGATCTGGAGGAGAAATAGACTGGGACTGAGATTTTATCCTAAACAGAGGCCTGACTGACATGCACCTCACGATGTGACTAACCAGCTCCAATTATGAACATGAAATTTGAGGAGTGAATATTTGAGACCACGGGAAATGAGCATATAGCAGTGTAATATTTGTTGATAGACCGATAATAATTATAGAAATAAATTTATAGGAGGAACTTCAATTTTTGAGTGGAATTGGATATTTAGTCGAACTGAAATTAATATGTTGAAATGACCTTAATTGAAATTTAACGAACATGGCAATCTTGGAACAATGGATGAAATGCATGTCTAGGTACTTGCCATTCTGAAAAGAATGGGTATTTGAACTCTTTGTGACCTACCTTACTCAAAAATCACTAATTCGTCCAGCATCTCCATCTCTTCAACCCAAACCTTACATTTTCTGCTGTAACTTTACTGAGTCTGAAACTAGAGGTTTCTCCTTCAGTGAACATCACTGTCTTCCTTTTTTGATTCTCTCTAGTATTTTTGTTTTTACATTCAGTTCTGTCGTCCTTTTCTGATTCTGTACTGTTTTTTTAACTGCATGTATATATACATGCTTTTTGGATGGTTGTCATGCTTTCACCATTTGTTACATTGCCATCTTCCATAATGCTACGGCTGTTTTTGCTGGCCATTTTTATCCTCATTTTATATTTAGGATTCAGCTACCCAAAACAAGTGCTATCAATTAATTTCGCTAATTATATCTGTTTTTTTTCTCTTTTATGCTCTTGTAATATTGCAGTATTTTTGGTTACTTATTGCATACATCACTACACTATGGATTCATGACATGTTGGTTGCAGATTGGGATTACTATTATTTGAATGTCTTCTTGCTTTTAGTTATATAAAATTTGCATGATCAGCTTTGGGGCTCGTGTATTTATATCCATGTATTTTTATATTTATTTTTTCAGTACAATGACAACAATGGGAACCCCTACTCAGATGTCTTCTGGCTTGCTGCACTAGTCCAGTCGGTTGGTGAGCTTGAGTTTGGGCAACAGGTTCATAAACTATTTTTCTCCTGCTGATTTTCATGGTTATCTTTTTTGGATTAATAATTTAATATACTGATCTGAGCTTCCTGAGTTTATTTTGTTTTATTTGTATCAAATGCAAAGCTTCTTAAGTAACTTCAATTAACTAAAACTCGAGTTGTTAAATATCATTGAGAGTTGATAATTTTGTTGGTGGAAAGTGTGATTTTGAGTTTGCGCAATTTCATTTCTATAACAACTAGGCAATAGTTGCTTGTTTTGAAGTATATATTTTTTTTATCAGCTGTTAACTAATATTTATCATTGATATGTTTCTTACTTAATATTTATAACCATTAATCAACCCCATTTTAAGTATGAGGCTTCTTTCTGTCTCAAAATGTTGACAGAGTATTCTCTTGTTGTCATCACTCCTCAAACACATCGACAGACTTCTACAATTTGATAGGTGAAATGATGCATTGCTTACTTTTGGTGAATTCAATTTTACTTGTAACTATAATTTACAATTCTGAAATGTCTTCTGCTAGTCTCATGCCAAGCTACAATGGAATCTTGACTATCAGTTGTATCCGGACATTGACCCAGATTGCTTTAAAGCTTTCAGGGTTCATTCCTCTTGTAAGTACCTTGTTCATCAAAATGCTGTTCAAAGCTTGTCATCAAGAGTCTAAATGTTTCATGTTTACTACAGGATCGAGTTTATGAACTTGTCAAGCCTTTTTGTGACTTGAAGACGCTGTGGCAAGTTCGAATTGAAGCAAGTAGAGCACTCCTTGATCTTGAATTCCACTGCAAGGGCATGGATTCGGCATTGCTTTTATTTATCAAATACTTAGAGGAGGAGCGTTCTTTAAGAGGTTGCAAATCTTTTCCCTTGCAGAGGATTTATAGAAGATGTGTGGCAAGCTAAGATATTGGTTCAGAATGCTATAATTACTTATAAATAGAAATTTTAATTAAGTTTGTCAAGTTTCAAAATATATATACTTTGTTCAAAATAATTATTGTTTATATTGAAACTGACAAGCAATATGATTCATTTACAGGTAAAAGTACGAAAAATCAGTGAACCTCTTAGACAATCCATATATATGTGCAAAGGAGTACTGCATAATGGATGGTTGTTTAGTAGTAACAAACTACAACTGTCAAACGACCATAATAACAGATAGCTATTCAGAAACATAAAAGAAATAGACAAGATCAAGAAAACAGATAGAAGCATATCCTAACAATTTAAATCTCTATCTTAAAAACAATTTTTGAAGAATAATTGTGACCTAAGGCATGTTTGGACGAGTTTTTTTAAAAACTCCTCCTAGGAGAGTACATTTCATTTGAAGAAAAATTGAAACTAGTTTCTCACCATAAGTCAAAATTAGTTTATGCATAAGCTAATTGTAGCTGATGGAGATGCCAAATTCATTTTTTTCTCCTCTAGAAAGGATTATGGAGAAGCTCTACCAAACAGACCTCTACTAATGGATTCCTTTGAACTTGTTTAGACTCCCACACCCCAACACACGTTTTAATATACAAGAGTATATACTTGAACTAATCTTGTGGCACATAATTATCTTGTTTTATAATATTGACAATCCTTATCAAAGGATCACTCATGTCTATATTTTTCCCTTCTATTTTCATCCTTAATTTTCCTTTTTTTTCCATCTCTACTTCTACCCATTTTTATGTGTGAAAATTTTAATCTCTTGGTTACAGGGCAATTGAAGCTGGCCACCCATGTTATGAGGCTATGTCAGATGAGGGATGGATTGAGTTCAGGTGATGAAATTACAAGCCAAACTCTTGTCTCTATACTTAATTTACTGGACGGGCGTACAGCTTTTAATAATGTCTTTCTCCGGCATTATCTGTTCTGCATACTACAAATACTTGCAAGAAGGTATATGTTTCTTTTTGGAATTAAATGCTAGCTTGCATATTTTGTCGCTAATGTGTTCTGTGAATATTACCTGTACCTGCTAAAACAAAAGATGTTCATTTCTAATTTATAACTCATCAATTATTTCATTTAACTATTTAAACAATTTGTTGGGAGCTGAGCTTTTTTTACCAGTATATATTTTTTCCAGTAATAAATGTTTTCCATCTGATGTTTTGAGAGTAACTTTGATTCTTTAGGGTTGAAGCTTTATTTCAATTGAAAGGCTCCTTACGTAAGCTGTTTACTGTTTCTGGTTTTGCGTCATAATGTTCTCTAAGAAATTAACCCAATTTAGAATATAAATGACCTGCTGATTCGACAAAATGTTTTTATTTCCTGATTTTACCAAATAATTACAGGGTTTTTTGTATTTTGTTTCTTTCATTTGATATTCACGTTTTTGGAAACACGAAGGAAAATGAAATAATGTGATATTTTTCTCAATCTAATCAGGTGATAATATTTTATACTCAATATCCATTTTCACTTTGTTGCTATTTTTGCAAAAAATAAGATGCTGATAACAAACTTAGCTAATACTGAATAATGGCACTTTGTTCTTCGCGTGTTTGTATTTACACTGCAGTTTTTGTCTGTGTTAGAAAAATGAAAATTCACTGCGACTTTAATCTGTGCTTTTGTCTGCAGGCCACCAACTCTTCATGGGATTCCCAGGGAAAATAGAATGTTGCATATGAGTCTTACAGAAGCTTGTAACTATCAGAAGAACATGTTTGTTCTTGATTCAGATAGCAAACCTTTGGATCTGCCAAGCACTACCCAAAACCCTACACCAGATCTTGGCCTGGAGGGTTTGAGGGATGCCCTTGATGAAGCTTCTAAGGACCAACCTTGTGAAGCTCCCTCACAGATGCACGTTGAAGCTCTAAAGGAAGCGCCCCTAGAGAAACCCGAAGAAGTATTTACTGAATTTCCGCAGGAAGCACCAATTGAAGTCCCAAATGAAGTTTCCAAGGAAGCTGATACTGTATCCAATAGCCATGAAAGAAAGAGACTCATTAAGTTCAAGGTAAAACAATCTTCTGCCACCAGTAGGGCTGATACTGATAATCAAGTGGTTGAACGTTCTTTAGGTTGTCGTAATGACATGGATCATGGAGCTAGCAGTTCAGTTTCTGTAGATGCACCCCAGAGGAATTTTGCCGAGACTATTAGCATCAGTAATCATAATATAGACGAAGTTAATTCTTGGCATGATCGTGGCTCACGCATGACTGCTAGCATTGGTAGTGCAAAGTTTTTGAGTGACGGTGACGAATTGGTCAAAGAACTCCAATGCACTGCTGATTCTAGTATAGTTTATTCACAACCTCAGCCAGAAGATCCATCATCATCCAGTATTATCCAGGATAACAATGTAGATGCCGATGCACGACGATATGCTAGCCTTCAAACTCTTTCAGTTGCAAGATTTGATCCTGACGGAGAATCATTAGGTAAAGAAATTTCTGCGCGTGGTAAGGAAAAACACAAAAGCAAGGAAAAGAAACGAAAGCGGGAAAGTAACAAAGGACACCATGATGATCCAGAATATTTGGAGCGAAAACGATTAAAGAAGGAGAAAAAACGACGGGAAAAAGAAATGGCAAAACTTCAAAGTGGTGAGATAAAGAGATCCTCCGTTGACTTGTCAAGTAAGAAAGAGGAACCTGTAGTGGACGTTGCTAGACAGGTTAAATCTGTTGAGCCCAGTGGATATAATTCTAAATTAGAAATCAAAGGGACTGATACCAAAACCGATCCATCTGAAGGCACATCTGGTGCACCAAAATTTCGAATTAAAATTAAAAACCGAATTCTCAACAAGTCATAGAGAATTAAACATGTCCTTCATTTTTTAGATGTTGGAATGAAAATTACAACGCCTTCATATTTCCTGGGTTGTATTTTTCTTTTCCTTATCCGGCATAGTAGGCCGTTTAGATGTTCACAATTATTGATTCAATGAGCTTCATTCGTTGGTAGTTGTGATATAAGAGATGTATATGATTGCAATTTCAATCATACAATATTTGTTATCGATGTAAATGAAGCGTATTACGATTTTGTCTAGGATATTGTTGTAAATTTGTAACTTCAAGATGTAAATTTATGATCTTGTTGCGGTTAAGTATTTTTATTTTTGGTCCAAAATTAGGGTATTGCTTGCATTATCATATCGTCCACAGATCCTCTTGGTTACCCGTTTAAGATCAGCACTACTACATTTATCAGTGTTATTTGTTTTATTTTCATCAAGTTTCGCACTCTCTAGAGTTGATGGTAAACCTTGCACTAAAAATGATGCCTGTGCCATCCTTATTTGTCATGCAGCGAACAAAATGTATTTCATGTGTTACACAGCTAAAAATGTTGGTTTCAGGTGCATATTTTGTTGTGGCTTTTAATTACGTCTGAATTTATGTAATCTTGATAATCATTGTTTTCTTAGAGAATTTTTATGCGGAGGAACTGTAAATTTCAAAATCTTAGGAGACAAATGTTTAGATTGGTAGTGACTCGTACAAATATTGTCCAGTCGTTAAAATAATGTATGGATCTATTCTTCACTTTGGTAAGAATGTTTACCAGCTGATCTTCAGATCGAATATTTGGCAATTCCAGAATATTTTTATCAAGTTTTTCCTTGATGAAAAATCTATCAATCTCCACATGCTTCATTCGATCATGTTGGATAGGGTTGTGAGTAATGTCGCGTGCAACTTTATTATCACAATACAACTGAATGAGATGTGTATGTGCATACCCTAAATCCTGGAGAAGTAGTCTGAGCCACAAACCTTCACAAAGTTAAAGAACCATTCCTCTAAGTTCAACTTCTGCACTAAATCTAGCTACAAATTTTTGTTTCTTGCTTGTCCATGTGACAAGATTACCTCCTACAAATGTAAAGTATCCAGAGGTTGACCTTCTATCATCAAGAGCATCTGCCCAATCTGCATCAGTATAAACCATCACATCCTTGTAGTTGGAGTTTTTCTTGAACATAACTCCTTTTCTAGGAGCAGTTTTTATGTACCTTAAAATCTGTATAACAGTATCCATGTGTTTTTCACTTGGATTCTGCATGAAATGACTAACCACACTAAGAGCATAAGCTAAATCTAGCCTAGTATGTGAGAGATACATCAATCTCCCTACAAGTCTCTGATATCTTCCCTTGTTAGTTGGAGTTTGATCTTCTTCAATGCACAACTTCAATCCTTCTTCAATTGGAAAATTTGTTGGTTTGTATACTGTCATTCCAATTTCTTTCAGTAAATTCAATGCATACTTTCGTTGTGAGAGAAAAATACTTGACTTTGATCTTGAGACCTCAATTCCAAAAAAATATTTCAAAGGACCAAGATCCTTCATCTCAAATTTCTTTGCCAAGTACTCTTTCAATGCCTTGCGTTCCTCTAGATTGTTTCCCGTAACTATCATGTTATCAACATAGACAATAAGAATTGTAATCTTTCCTTCCTTTTTCTTTAGAAACAAGGTATGATCTTGGTTGCTCTGTTGATATCCAAAAGCAAGCATTGACTAGGTGAATCTACTAAACCATGCTAGTGGCGATTTTTTTAGTCCATACAATGACTTCTTCAACTTGCATACCTTCTTGCTATGTGTATTCGGGATCCCACATCCTTCTGGTAACTTCATATAAACTTCTTCAGACAATTCCCCGTGTAAGAAGACATTTTTTACATCAAATTGTTGTAAGGACCAATCAAGGTTTACAGCTAGAGATAACAATATTCGAACTATACTAATTTTGGCTACGGGAGCAAACGTTTTAGTGTAATCTATTCCATATGCTTGTGTGTACCCCTTTCCCACCAATCTAGCTTTGAATCTCTCAATTGTGTCATCTGCATTAAATTTCACAGTATACACTCATCGGCATCCTACTGGTTTCTTTCCAACTGGATAATCTAATAATTCTCATGTTTTATTTCTTTGCAAGGTACAGTAGATAATTGACTTATAAATGCGATATTTGAGTTAGACAAATTCTGGTTACAAATATAATTACTCATAGGGTATCTTGTCTTACTGGTGAGGTCAAAATCATAAGTAAGCTTAGGGATACCTCTAGTGACACGATCTGACAGAATTATTTTTTCTGTATTAGGTTCTTGAGGAGACGATTGGTGTGGTATATCATCAGCATCAACAGGCAAATTTTCGATGATCTCGATATGCTCAAAATCTTCCTGATTATGTGGTTGTTGATCATAACATTGTTGCATACTTTCATCATCTCCTGATACAACTTTGTAACTTTCTTTCTCCAATCTGACCTCAATATCAATTTCTTGAGGAATAAAAGTCTGAACTTCATCATAATTCTCCCCCTGAATTTTAGACTCGGGGGAAAAATATATCAAAGTTTCATGAAAAACTACATCTATAGTAGTAAACATTTGCTTAGTTTATGGATTGTAGCACCAATATCCTTTTTGATGATCTGCATAGCCAAGGAACACACACCTTTCAGCTCTAGGAGACAACTTACTTCTCTGATGCTTGTGTAAGTGAACATAAACAACACAACCAAAAGCTCTATGTATTAGTTCAGCAATTTTAAGACTTACTACTGCATCTATAAGTGATTGAAGAGGTGTTTTATACCCAATAGACCTGGACGGTGTTCGCTTGATAGTGTATACTACATATGTGAGAGTTTCTCCCCAATATATTACTGGCATGTGAACTCCAATTAGTGCAGCTCAGACCACCTCCAATAGATGACGATTCTTTCGTTCTGCCACCCATTCTGTTATGGAGTATTTGGACAAGATCTCTGAACAATTCCTTTGACTACTAAAAAATGTTGAAGTTCCGATTGCATATATTCTCCTCCGTTGTCACTGCGTAGTACCTGAACTTATGTTTTGTACTGGGTCTCAATCATTTTGCAGAATTTTTGAAATAGTCCTCCAACTTCACTTTTAGACTTCATGAATCATAACCAAGTCATTTGAGTACAATCATCAATAAACGTTACAAATCACGTTGAGTCACCCAACGTTGTAACCTTAGATGGACCCCATACATCAGAGTGAATAATCATAAAAGGAAGAGAACTTTTATTTGAAATTAAAGGAAAATATGTTCTATGACTCTTTGCAAGCTCACAAACATCACAATAAAAAGTTGAAGTGTCTACTTGGTCAAATACATTTAGAAATAATTTCTTTATGTAACCAAAAGATGCATGTCCTAGACGCTTATGCCATAACCAAATATCTTCGCATTTTCTTACTTCTTGAGACCCTTTTGTTACTATCACTTGACTAAGTCTCTTTGAATCTTTTTCTGTTAGGTCGAGGTAATACAACCTTCCTCGCCTAATATCACAATCAATCGTCTTCCTCATTTGAATGTCCTTAAAAACACAAGAGTCAGACCCAAAAATTACAACACATAAAAGAGCTTTGATTATTTTTGAGACTGACAATAGGTTATATTTAAGAGAAGGAACAACAAGGACGGTATCAAGATTCAAATTATTTGAAATAGAGACAGTTCCTTCTCCAATAATAGTGGATTTACTACCATTGGCTGTGGAAATACTTTTTTGTGAGGAAGGTTTAAGATTTTTAATATGTCTAACATAAAAAATCACATGATCAAAACACGCAGAATCAATTATCCATGCATTATTCAGAACGGTAGATGTGCTTATTAAAGCCTTACCATTGAAATCATCACTACCTGCGATTGTAACAAACATCATGCATTTGTCATCCTCTTTGTCAATGACAGTTACAACAGCAACAATTGGATTTCTTTTTGAATTCTTCTTTAATGCTTGACTGTGATCCCACCACTCAGGGTATCCTATGATTTCATAGCATCGTTCATCGGTGTGCCTTATTACACTGAGTACACTTGTAGTTACCTTTTTCAAAATATTTTGATTGCTTTGATTTGCTGTGATGATTTGCTGACAACTTCTTTGTCATCATAGCTGTGGAATCAGAAATCATATCTTTTGTTTTCAATGTTGTTCGTCGGACTGTCTCTCTTCAGATCAATGCATAACATTCTTCTAAATCAGGTGTCACTTCCTTGCGCAATATTTCTCCATTAACTTGCTTAAAATCATCATCCAGTCCAACAAGAAATATATGCACCCTTAATCTTTCAATGAGCTTCTGATATGACTTCACATTATCAGGGTCCTTCATGATTACTTTGTCACGATTGTCCAATTCCCTAAAACTCTCAATCAACTCCCCATAATATTAAGTTAAGGTTTTATTATTTTGTTTTGCAGTGAATGCCCTTTGATTCAGGGCAAACACTTGTAGCTCATCACTTCCATCATAAAATTCCTTTGACAAAGCATTCCAAATATCGAGGGCAGTGGGTAAGCGAAGATACATTTTCATGATTTCTTGCTTCATGGACATCAATAGCCATTTTTTCACTTTTCGGTTTTCAGCATACCATTTTTCATATCCCTCATCGTTCTTTGTCGGAGGCTTCACCTTCTCGCGGATGTAGGACAATTTTTCCCTCTCTGCAATATGCATCTCTATTAGTTGTGACCATACGTCATAATTGGATTAATTTATGATGATGCTTACGTTGAAGACACCTTCAGATTGAACAACTATTGGAATTAGTTTTTTTGACATCTGACCAGATAAGATCTCCAAGGATTTAGAAAGAAAAAGAAAAAAATTATAAGTTCTGGTACCAAGTTGAAAAATATAGAATTCATTCTATAATTTTTATTCATATTTTTTTGTGTACGCAAATATTATGATCTTATAGTATTTTACTCCAACAAATCTAGACTAAATAAAAGAAGTT